CGATTTCTCCATACAAGGACGGTCTGGCCCGTGTGATCTCCATTTCATGTTCCTGTTTTTGTCTCTGTCAGCAACGAAGATTTAGCCGAGAATGGTTTTCATTTTGAAGCAAAGCAACAAAAATCGAAAGGACTGCATTACTACGAGTACTACCACACACACCGTGCAACCCTGTGCAGAGTCTGAGCAGCTGAGGTTTAGCCTAAATAAACAACGCCGGGGAATTCTGGGATATGTAGGCGAAGAGTTACGATTATAACAGATAGATGAAAATAATAAAGGACACACACACATTTATATATGTATATATAAACATAAATATATATTGTAGATGTTGTGGTTCTTTAGTAATGCAGAATAATAGGACATATGTATTTATTTGTGTAGCACATTTTTAAAATCCATTATGTGGATTCAAAGCATAGACTGTATATAAAAGACGGACAGAGCAATGGGTTTTGGACCTATTTTGAAGCCTTGGTGTTTTTCATTTTTGGAAGCAGAAGTTGCTATTTGTGATGCAACATGGAAAAGTCCACCAAAGATGTACACCAAATCCCAGTGTGGTGATAGAAAGTGTATTCTGGTTTTTGCCAAAAAACAAAGAACCCGTAAATATTTAAAATGTTGGTCTATATTCTGTCAAACGTATCTTATGAGATACTTAGGAGTCTTATGAGTCATTTTGAGCCAGAAAGAACATTCCTGACACATTGTAGAAGCTGCAATCAGTTTTTTGATTGTAGCTTTTGACTGACTATAATGTAGAACACAGAGAACAAAAAACCTATAATTCCTTTACCTTCTTTTTTTTATACAACTCCGTCACACCTCCTGTTGACTACTGCCGATAAGCAAAGATTTAAAACAAAACAAAACATGGAAACATTGGAAATCACGTTTTGGCACAACACCGGCTGAGCACAAAAGCAATAATGCAATCAGGAACAGCCAGACTTTCCCATATTTCAGATGTTTGTCATCTTAGTGTCACTGTCTGCAAATATCTCTCCACACACTGTATCCCAAAAAATGCAATTTATTGAACTGTGTCTAATGCACAAATTGTTAATATACAGTGTACTGTTCTGCCTCGGTTCCTCATCCAGGAAACTTTTGGCTAACACTGTGTCTAATCAGGGGTTTCTTAAAAGTAAGAAACAGTTTACAAATATGAGACTAATATCTGTTTACATCATAACATGACACCTGTCAATCCATTATCCTGTTGGATGACTTATAAAAATGTGTAAATTGTTTTTTGTACTGAAGTGCAAACATGTTTTGTAATCCTTTACAAATTGGTGTATTAACATAGCGTGAATTGCATCACTTCTGGAGTCAACCTCAGTTTTTCACTTTTCCATGTTAGCTTCCTTTTTCAGTTTCTCTACTTTATCTAATACATAGGTGTCAAACTCAAATTTGGCCCGCAGCCTAATTACATTTGGCCCGCGAAGCCATACCAAATTATTATTAGAGCTGGCCTACTGGTATTATACAGCTAATATATATATATTGTTTAGTATTAAGCTTTACTTGTTCCATATTCAGTTTTTCAGCAAAACTTGTTTGAGTCCATAAGAAGAGATTCATTCTTAAATCTGGAGGAAGATTTTTTTTTTCAATAAATATTAAGGTTAGCCCACGACCTTGTTCCAGTTTTGAATTTTGGCCCACTGTGTATTTGAGTTTGACACCCCTGATCTAATGACTTTAACCAGCAAATAAAAAAGGTTTACATCGCTGTCAATAATGTCGCATGTAAAGAACTGTTTTTTATTCATTTGTTTATGGCATGTGCCCGTTTAGAGCTAGCTTGGCAAGCTTTAGCTAGCATGACACATTAACTCATGATGTCACTTAAGTGCTATTTTATATTTCAATTGCAACTCCTAGGTTAGATAAGGTTAAGTAAACAGGTTAACTGTGGGATGGATTTCATGATCCATGGTAACAGTGGTTATTGGTGAGTTCATTCTGGTAGCTATTTGTATGGCCACAGGACTGACCATTAGCCACCCAATTACCACTTCCCCTCAATGGAAAGGGAAAAGTCATTTAACCAATGTTTTTAGATTTTAGTTTTTTTGTTTGTTTGTTTTTCTGGAGACACCCTCTTGAAGCATTAAAAATTAAACTTCCTCTTTCAGCTTTCATCTCTCTCGATCCTATCGTATCCCCAGCATCGTCGTCTGTCACACCAACCTTCTGCGTGTCCTCGTTTGCTGTAGTCTTCCTCTTTTTGTCATGCCTAGAAACTCCATATTTGACTGCTGGGTTGAGCACTAACAACTAAGCACTGCAAATCTTTTACACAGGAGGTTGTAGTCAAGGTGCAACATGTAAGATTTTTGGCCTTAAGCATTCAAGGTTAAACAAAAATTATCAACAAAATTTGAAGAAATAAAAGATCTGACTCCAAGTGAACTGTGTTGGAAAGATTTTTGCTGAAGTGAGCACGCTTGCTAGCTTCTCATATTTGCACTTTATATCTAACGGCAGAGCTTCTATTGTAATATAAATGGAAATTACAAATTAGCTATCAGTGTTTGTGTTTACCATTGCCAGACAATGCTACATCAGTGCAATCATTCACCAACCATCATGAATGATGATGTGACGGAGAAGCAACGTTATATCAGCTTGCAATGACAAGGCCTCCACTTCTTGTCTTCTTTAAGACCATGAGCACACACACACATTGTGGTAGTGTATGTTTGTCAGTGCTTGTTGTTCCTTAAACAAGCAAACCATAAGCATCAATCAGCAACCACACAGCAGTGTGTTTTGAAGCCGTTTATCAGACATGTACACTTCTCACCATCGTGTGGGTCTTCTTCAGAACACTTGTCACCTCCTCTCAGGCTTAATGGATCACATTTGCCAAATGCCTGCGAGATTCTGCTTATTTCATGTCTGTTTTTAGATGCATGTCATTATCCTGTTTGTGCAACCATGTCCTGTGATTATGACACTGAATGTCTTTCTTCAGAACGAGCTGATACACTTCTGATATCACTCTTCTTTTCTTCATCTCCATGCTGTGCATTTATTTTTACTTTATTATTTTCTGTGAGCAAAAACAGAATTTCACTTATCAAAAGATTCTCATTTTGTTTCATCTATCCAAACAATTTTCTTCTAGAAGCATTGTTATTTGTCAATATATATTTAATATCTTTTGACTTTGTTACGGTCTGTTTTTCCAAAGTTATGGTTTCCGAGGCTTCTTCTATAGAAGCCACTTACCTTTACAGAGTGCTGTAATCAGACATCAGTGCATCTTGATCTTGGAGGTCAGCTTTTATACTGTGTTTCAAGCATTTCTTTATTTGTCATTCCACAATTAGCTTAGCTAAACAAGGTACAAGTGACAGTCATAACAAAGGCATAGCCTCTCCAATTGTGTCATTCTCCTATCCACTCGCAGGCTGGGTTCATCATGAAGCTTCTGTTTGTTCCTTGTAGCCATGTAGATTCCGTCATGGCTACTTACCTGGAAAAACGTGCATAGATGCTTTTCTGCACATCACTAGCCATAACTCTGCATTTGCTGGCCGTTTTCAAGCCATTTGTCATGTCTAAGAAGACAAGCAGAACACAAAAAATAAATCAACACAAGAAAGGAAGTCAATATGACTGTTTATTTCCTGTAGAACTCTTGAATCACAAATGTTGCAACATGGGGGAAGATTATTCTTAAAGATTTTCTTTTTAAACATTTAAACATTTGCAGTCAACAGTAGCTTGACTTGAAACTCTAAGCCCAAGATCAAGAATCACCAAAAATTCACATTTTCAATATGGGAAAATGAGGTACAGAGACCATAACTGTGCTTGTATCAGGCTGTAAAGATGTATTTCTGTAGTAATGTTAGCACTACAGTAGAGATTCTGTAAGTATGAGAAGCTAGCAAGCTAGTGGTCAAAAAGAACTGTAGCTTTGGCCATTTTAACATTAGCTTCATATTTTAGCCTTGGAAGTTTCCATCTGGTTAATACAGCTTCTCTGCTTTTTATATTCAATATCTAACAATGAAGCTTTTGCAACATCTGCCTACTTCTAGGGTCTAATGTAATACTATGTAGGTTGTCATATGACACGGTGGTAAATAAAATAGAGGGCTAGGCAACCAAAGTCTTGAATGCCCACTAGCAATGAAGCCTCTGTGACAAAGTGATGCATGGCAACCAAATTGCTTTCTGTGTAAAAACCCATTAACACACTTATTTTATAGTCTGGTTATTATATTGGCTAGCAGCTCAGAACAGTCTTTGCTTATATGTTGATCATAGGCAGTATAAAAGACGTAGCTACTCCTGCAGCTGCAAACTGGTTAGTGAAGTCTTATTTTGAAGCCTTGTGATGAGCATTTTTGCCATTTTGTTGTTTTGAAACCCTATGTTATGAAGAGGGGCAGATCAGACTGAAATTGCATTGGCTAATGACTTGTCAATCACAAATCATTAGCTCATGACAATATGTTGGACAATATACTTTCTAGCACTTCGAATGGCAAAATTATTCATGTTTTATACAGTACAACCCAAAATGAGTGAGTAACATAACCATGGTTGCCATTAGTTTTTCATGTACTACAAATATTTGGGGAAAAAAACCCTGCGAAAACTACTAGTCCAGTGATAGTAAAACCTGGAAAAGTTTAACGAAAACCAGAAATGTAAAAGGTTCACCTTCAGAGTAAAAGCTGTGCCTCAGTGCTGCCACCAGTTTGTTTCAAAAGGCACAACTGGTTTGCAACGTGTCCATAGACACGTCTGTTACTCCCATGCAAACTGGGACAACAGCAATATGCTAACAAGGAGGATTTCTTCCAGCCAGTTGGGAAATACTCATTCTTCCCTCATGAGTGGGTGCTGCCAGAAAGTCACAGATAGAGTGGGTGAAATGTTGTCGCAACAGCGGAGGTGAGATTGATTTCGAAAGTTGGACTTGCTGGAGCGCTTGTGATACTGTGAGCGCTGGAGGGTGTTTTGTTGGTAAGGGAGGTGGCAAAAAAGCTGGCAAAATTGGTTGGAGCAATGCCAAAAATTCAAACCTGGTTGGCAGTCCACCCTTGGCGGCGGTTGAGCACGACTGTTCCGTGAGTGGGTCAGCTGTGGGCAGCTGGGAAGACTATGTTGATTTTGATGAAGAGGAGGAAATGCCTCTGGAGCAAGTGCAAGGTGAGCAGAGGAGCAAAAAGCGTAA